TTTGGAATCTGATTGATTGTTTCTGTGGACAGGTGTCTTTTATACAGGTCACAAGCTGAGATTAGGAGCACTCCCTTTAAGAGTGTGCTCCTCATCTCAGCTCGTTACCTGTATAAAAGACACCTGGGAGCCAGAAATCTGATTGAGAAGGGGTCAAATACTTATTTCCCTCATTAAAATTCAAATCAATTCATAACATTTTTGACATGCGTTTTTCTGGATTTTTGTTGTTGTTATTCTGTCTCTCACTGTTCAAATAAACCTACCATTAAAATTATAGACTGATCATTTCTTTGTCAGTGGGCAAACGTACAAAATCAGCAAGGGATCAAATACTTTTTTTCCCTCACTGTATGCACTCCCCAGGGCCACGTGGATATTTCTCCGGGTTTCAGAGTATTTGGCTGATATTAATTTCCACACAAAAAGCCACTTGAGCAATAATTTGTGGCCAGGTCGCTTCTGAAAAAAGAGCAATATAATGTAGTTCAGTGGATCCTACCTGGAAATATAAAACGTTAAAACTACAAATCAGACCACACAAAACGAGACAACAAACCAGAACAAACGAGCATGGAATTACACGCAGCACAGACAGTACACACGAGAAATACATTCTACTCGGCACATTGACGAGACAGACGGTGGTACAACAAGCTGGCAAGATTAGAAGTACATACGAGACAGTATACATAATCAATCGTGACTTAAAGCTTTCGTGACTACAGGAATTCATATTCTTTGGTTCTTTCGGTAAAGTCACGTAGATAGAAAATATAACCTTTGGCAGCAGTGGCTATGCCTTTGGCTGCAGTAGCTCTCACTATATTTATCTCAGCAAGTCCGCCTGATGCATTTGTTCACCGGAGGACAAACGCTTGTGTTGCGATCGAAGCGTCGTGGTTTTTTTTACCTTTTTATTATTTTCTATCTACGTGACTTTACCGAAAGAACCAAAGAATAGTACATAATAAATGGAATAAAAGACGACAACCAAGGCAGAATATGCGAATTACGCAGTACAAACAGGATGAAACACAGGGCTTTGACCAAGCAGTACAAGCAAGACAACACGAATCGAAGTTTTAATCTGATCTTGACCCTCCAACAGTGAAAATTCATCGAATCTGCTCTGCATCAATTTTATATTTGAACGTCATTCCTCCCCAGTTTGTACTCGATACTGGATCAACTGCACAGCACTCACACAAGGACAATTTAAGGGTATAAGCCATGCCTAATTTTAAATTGATATTAAACGTACTTTATAACCTCAATGACAAAGGAAGAGGCACAGAATAAATACGCACGTGGGGAAATACAATCCGAGCATTCGACCCGATACAATAACGGAACTTTTGGCCGAGCAGATTGAAATTTCAATATCGTCGCGCATTTAGCTTTGCTTTAACTTTTTTTGATCCTGTAATTCCTCTATATTGTATTCTCTTTTGTTTCCCAGGTCCCCCTTGATAAAATATATCTTAGCCCCAATGGGCTCTCACCTGATTTTTTTAAAATGTTCTTGCATGGTGTGGCTATATTTGAATAGCAGCTATTATAAATCTAGATACATTCGATAGTGATACTATACAGGGAGTGGTGCACAAGCAAAAACAAACATATTTGCCAATAACACTGGCTTTCAAAGGACAAATATATAATATGCAACAATATTAATACGTATGTTATGAAGATCCTTTATTCACAAAGTTATTTAGCTTCTGGTGACACTGAAGTGAAGGCATATTTTAAAGACATTTCTCCATTAAATATCTGAGCGGGCAGGTGCTGATGGTGTTCTCCATTTGTTTTGCAGTCGTCGGTTTTTAAAATAAAAATTTCCATAAGTTTAGTAGGCGTTGCGATAACATAGGTCAAAGTCAGTGAGGTTTCAGTTTGTTTATAAAGCAAGTTAATGTATTGAGTGCTGTTACAGTCAGCTCGCAGTCACACAAATCGTGAGGTGATACTGAAAGTTATGGGGCGTTCTGGGTTTACGACGAATAAAAAAAACGGTTCGAGCTTGGCCGTGTTACAGGTGATGGCGGGTTTTTAAATGAATGGGCTTAAATCCCTAGGGGATCAATCAGTATGTATACAGCACTAACCCTACATACCAACCCCACCCTGGTGTACACTTGGCGTTTTCAACAGTGGCCCGCCTTTAGTTCACCAGCAGAGACCCACTGACTCAAGGTTGACAGCAAAGGTTGTTTCCTTTCCCACAATGGTTCTGGCATTGGTGAGCCCAGGGGTTGGCAACATGCGTCTCTTTGACTGCTTCGTGACGTCATTGAGCAAGGACCGTCTCTTATTAATGTGTATTATAGCTCTTTGGTTGCAGACCCCTGGGTTAACCCATCACAACAGCCACTAATGTAACCATGAAGTTGCAATTAACAATCTGCAGCACATTACATATGTACAGTATTGGGACTAATTTAGTGTTGTGCATTTTTAATGTGCACAAACGAATCCATCCGCTCGAAGTTATTACATTTCCATGCATAGATACAATCACTCCATTTTCATAATTTAAAGTTTTAAACTACTTGTTTCACATGTAACTGTTCCGAAAACTATAAACGCCTACTAGTTTCCTACACTTAAATAACATAAAATATTTGTTCTATGAGCACCCATTTAACATTAAAAAACCACCCCTGACAAGCCTCTCAGGGGATGCGCATGTAAACTTCAAAGTAAAATATCTAATTCTAATACGTTAGCTATAGTCTTGGTTCTTTCGGTAAAGTCACGTAGAAGGGAAACAATAAAATAATAAATATAAAACAATAAAAATATAAAACAATAAAATATTTTATATTTTGATTATTTTATTGTTTCCCTTCTACGTGACTTTACCGAAAGAACCAAGAATATGAATCCCTGCAGTCACGAAAGCTTTAAATCAAAACGTTAGCTATACATTAATAAATTATATTCAGTTGCGCGGTGCACCCCCCCCCCACCCCGCGATCCATACTTAATAAAATGTAACACCAGATGAAGCAATATCAGTTTAGACGTCAGGCGCGTATGACATTACTCAGTCCTACGTACGTTACAATGCCTTTTCCCAGCTGCCTCAAGAGCTATGGGCACCCTGCACGTACAATGCTGGAAGACAGCCGAGCCATAGAACGGAGTCATAACAATGCGTCACCGCGTTTTAAAACGCCAGCCTCGACTGGGTAAGTGGGAAAGCATTGTAAAGTGCATCAGCAGGCACACAGCCAAGCCGAGAGGTTACCTTATACAGGGTGCTTCAAAAACAAATGTTAACACATTTCTGAGAATTTGCAACAACACCACGTGACATGTGCTGCTGCCTCTGGGCTCTGGAGATCACCTGGAGAAGATCCCAGGCCACATGTTGACAACGAAGGCGAACAAGTGGAGACTCTTTGACTTTTTGAAGCTATTAACATACATTTGTTATGTTACAGTGTATTATCCGTTCTTTCTTCCATGAAAAACGATAGTCCCATGTAAGTGTTAACATGTTTTTGAAACAACCTGTATTTAATGACTGGATGAAAGTCAGATCCCTGTGTAGAACAATGCCGATTTTAGGGACGCAAGCTTAAATTCGTGAGCACTATTGCAAGCCGTTGTATCAATACAATAATACGTACTGTATTGTCTACGCTTAAACCGTTATTTTAGGATTAAATAAAAAAAACTTGTACAAACAATACTGAAAACGCTATAAATTCAGATTTTCCACAGCCGATATGCACAGGACATTTAGAACCCTATTTTGCATTTCTGTACAATTCCTACAATAAAATTAGTCTTGAATAGTAGGCGTTCTTAAAAGCAATGTTTTATTTTTAGACTTGAGGTAAAACATTAAAAGGTTTGAAAATCTGATGGGTGAATGTAATATGAAAAGGACCTCAAAATAGATAACATGCAGCATGTAACTTTGAACTGCTGCAAGTGGCTTTACACGTTTAAGATATCTATCAAAAGTGTAAATGGAAATTTTTGTACTGCTATCATGAGAAATGCGGAGAAACAAATAGCCTTAAGAGCACTCCACACTGAGCAGGCTTCTTTTATTTACACGATTCCTAGGACAGGTTTTTTTTGTTTTGCAAGTTTTTAGCATATTATCTTTTCAAGAGTAGGAGTGGTGGCAGAGTGGCTACCACACTTGAGTTTGATTCCCAACTTCAGCTAACATCAGTGGTATGATAGCTGAACCAGTTCAGCACAACTCTACCCACCTGCACTGACCAATACGGTTAAATATTCAAAATAAAAGGTTTTTGGGTTAGACCGCGTCAATATAAGTGTCAAAACCCACCACCACCACCACCACCCAAAGCCAACCAAGTAAACAAAACGTGCCAATTCGTTACTTCAGCCGACCGGTGGTGTAGAGTAAATCCACCTTTTAAATTTAAGTACTACGTTTCACTGTTAAATCGCCCGATGATGCTGGATGCAGCGAAACATAGTACTCAAATTGTAAATGTTGTGGATTCACTCAACACACCAGTGGGCTGAAGTAGTAACTAACTGGCACGTTATGTTTAGGTGACAAACTTTACTGGTTGGCTGTGCCGGGTGGTGGCAGGTTACGACACATTTATATTTACGCTATCCAACCCAAAAACCTTAATTATGAATATTGGTCGTGAAAGCCTACGTGTCAAACTGACGGTGGAATATCGTGAAATCCTCATGACTGACATGGAGAGATCTTGACTTAAAGCTTTCGCGACTGCAGGAATGAATATTCTTGGGTCTTTCGGTAAGTCACGTAGAAAGGTTCAAAGAAAAAAACTAAAAACTACGACGTTTTGAAGACGACCGCTTGTGTTGCGATCGAAACGTAGTTTTTGAATATGTCATGGATGGGTCTTCATCCAGCAGTGGATTTACAAATGGCTGTAAATAAAAAAAACACACTAAATCACACTTGTGAGGTGCACTTCAAACCAAGAACGCTTAAACATCATTAAGACACGGTGGATACAAGAACGTGTAGCACACCCTGAACATTTTATTCAAGTTCAAACATTGATAAAATTGTACACATCACAGCTCTTTGCAAAGTTTCACAAGTTCAGCCGATTAAGGCATAACTGTGCTTATTGTACGACTGTACAATTAACACGTACAAAGCCCTTTTACCCAGGCACATCGTCATGACATTTAAATCCATCCTTTGCGTCACGTGAATACCAGATTTAAAATGTGTTTATATAAACATCTTTAAATATTTCATATTTCAGAAAATGCACTTGCAATAAATTCAAAGCACAGTGGATTTCAACGCTTGAGAACAATCTTTATGTCAGGACAGATGACTGTCAATATTGTAAATTACAAAGTCAACAAATCTCTTTTTAGTGTTTTGCTATAAGCAAAATTGATGTGAACTCGACTACAGATATATAATGAAATGTCTAGGCACCAAACCAAGAAAATAATTACAAGGTTTCAATATTACGCTCACGCTAAACTTATAAAGGGGGGAAAAGAACACACAAACCAAAACGCCAAGTGTGAATAATATGAAATGCTAACAGGCCTATTCATGTTTGCCAATGCTAATGCACAAATAATTAAAACAAGAGTTGTGTATCTAGGTACGTGCATCAAGACCATTCAATAATTCATGATGACTATCAATTACAAAACGCTCTAATCAAATTATATACAGTACAATGAATTTCAATTGAGCACTGCATTGTAGCAGATGTAGCTAAAGCAGGTTTTTTTTAATTTAGGCAATATACCAAAAATGTAATTGCTATCTTAAGTACCATATTCAAAATACAGATAATCCAAGAAACATCAGTAATTTAAGTTTAGTTGCAATAATTATTCACAACTAATGCAAAGAGTAAAACGGCACACACAATGCAAAAATGGCTTCATGCCATGTATCTGGGGATGGTATGACAGGGACGTGAAAGATAAGGTCACAATTAAAGTGGATCTTATCCCTAATAGTTCAAGAGATTTGACAAAAGTCAACACGACTTATGACAAATTATAATGGATTCCCACCTACACTATCTATTCAATGTCAGTTGCTCTTTCGTTTTAGTAAGATAGCACGCATTAACTGATTTGGCAACACAAGAGTTTTATTTTTTTGGTGGCAACAAAAGGTATGAACTAAGGAAAAAATAAGTCATCATATATACTTATGTCTGGTGCAAACTCAATGCAGTCCGACATGGCACGTTTAATTTGAGCGGATAGGTGGGAATCTAGCTTCATGATAAGACCCGCACTTCTTTAAGTCCTCTCTCTCAACGTTTCACACGTTCATTTTGCGGGCACAATTCTACTTAGGATTTAGTACAGCAGATTTTAACCTGCCTAACAATCGCATTAAAACCAAATAAGCTAGTCCCAAAAATACCCAGCTGAAGCTTGTATAAGCCACTTTGCATGCCATATGCCAAGAGACCAGAAACGACTATGCGCTCCGTAACAAAGATACAATTTCCATAACGTAGTCCGACATTCAACATTGCATACCTCGCACATTTTTATTCCAGACATGGTAATAATGTTGGGGTGGAGCAGTGGCGTGTTCGTTTGCACAATGCACTGTAAAACTGGTGACCTGAGTTACATTCCCTGACACGGCTAACATCAGGGGTGATTGATATATGAACCGGTCTTGAATAGCCCCAATCACCAACCCGCATTGACCAGTATGGGTAAGTATGGTCAAAGAATCTCTCAGAGCCACATGGCATGTTGATCCTTTCGCACTGGATTGAAAATTTGTATAATTATATGGCTATAATTAAAAATGAAATAAGATTATACTTTCACAAGACAGATGTGTAATACAGTAGTTGCATAATTTAAAGTGCACAGTTATAACTATGCACAGTAGTTGTATACACAGTACAATTAAATTTTTAAAAGCATTTAATCATAAAACTCCAATCCATTTTATTAGTCTTCAAAGCAAACATCACGCGAAACACTTATGTGAATGGCATACGGGAGAAGGTAGAATAATTGCATCTGCTGTTTTGAGGCCAGCAACAAATAGTTTACAGTTATACAGCATATAAATGCCACTTCATTCTCATGTCACAAGAGGAAAAGTGGGGGGGGGGGGGGTTCAGAAGCTTTTTGACTTTTGCACATTTATTAAAATCTCACTTCAATACTTATGTGCTCATGTAACACTATGCCACAGTTCATAACCAAACCTTTACAGCTTTTACCTGTATTTAACACCTACAGAAAAATAAACAATCATTACTTAATTTATCAAAGCCCATTGGCCAGTATTCACAAGTATTCAACATCTAACAGCATTTCAAACATTTACAGAATTTTAATAAGTCTTGCTTTTTCACCAGCTGTGAGATTTAAATTGTTACTTTACGAGTCTTAATTGGCAGGGCTACACTGCTTGATACCAACTGCTCAACTTTCCGTCACGCTCACAGAATTATAATTGTTCTTTTGTTGCCAACCATGCCACAACTCCTCAAAGCCTGTATTCTCCTACAATCTACAACAAATGCATGTAGAATGAGAATCGTGTACACTTTTACTGTAGCTAGACATAAAATGACACCTCTACATATGGTTTTGTTATGAGTAAAGTGATAAACCGATTTCCACCATTCTTCCTCAATAGTACTTTGTTTGGAAGAACACAAATTTCACAGCAGCCCTTGAAACATGGTCCATGGGATAGCATGTCTCCCTCTACACATCCCTATATACCCTGTACACAAGATTCGTCATTTTATTTAAAATAACATATTCTATGTTAGCAGATCAGTGTCTCACAAGACAGAGGTAGCAAAATAGCGAGCAATGCAGTCTCCCATGTCGTGGACCATTACAGTAAAAGGAAAATCAAAGCCGTCTTCCTGCCTTTAACACAGTACCTTGTGTCTGTCCAACTGGTTAGTGTTTTGTAAAATGTACTCCTTAAATTCTTTCCAGTTGTCTATCTTTCGAGGAACCATCTACAAAAAACATCTATTGTTGCTGGTTAGCTGCGTACATACCTCTGTTACATTTTTTGATCTTAAGGATTTCCCAACACAATAAGCTGTAGAAAATATGTACACGTATAAAAATTATACATTCTCCACCCCCTCGTCGATCGAATCAATAGCATCCATAGCGTGACAGTTTTGTGTTTTACAAATTAAATTTAAGATTTTTCACAATGTCAAAAACAAGGCATGATTTTTTTTTTACTTCTAAGCCACCTTCACAACAGGCCCTTCAACAAATGCCCGAAGGAGACGTTGTTTCTTCATCTGCCAGAACTCATACGGTAATGCCAGCGTACAGGCTGTCTATTTCTGAATGAAAGAACTTGCATACCTCGGCCCGTTTCACTTTGAATGTTGGCGTCAGAAGTCCGTTCTCAATGCTAAACAGGTCTGAGTGCAGGTGGACAGCTCGGACCTGCAAGCACAACACCACATGCAAACATGGCACTCACACTTAGATTCAGACGAGGTTCATCAATGCAAATTTACCTTCAAGCAAACTACAGTTGTCACAATTTATCCAATTGTCAAAGAATAACATTTCCAAATCGCTTGTGGTAGAATAGATTTTCCCCAGGGGATTTGGCCAGGATAAAAAAAAACCTAAATAACTCCCCCAAGTCAAAGGTACCATGCCCTCTGGAAGGCTGGGCTTAACTTTACAGATATGCACATGCATTCCTATCATTCTTACACAAGCATATGCTTTCTGCTTTTACATTGATTAAAAGACCCCCCCCCCATAAATGTATGGAATTGTAGCTGAATTTCCAAATATGAATCGACATCAGTGCAAAATTGTATTACGTGATTATAACAAGCGTAGTCCATGTTTTTAGGTTCGGCCAAGTAGTGTTTTTCGAAAATATATTGTCACCAACGATGCCACAAGTGACAAAATGTTTGGCATAAAACATACATACTCCTAGCCCAAGAACACAGTATTGGCTATGAAGGCCTGCTTTAAATAAGGTACAGTGCTCTTATTTAATTGGTGGAGTGGTAGCGTAATGCTTAGCACAGTATATGACCTTACCTGGTGACCAAAGTTGGATTGGTGGTCGCGGTTAAGATAAGTGGCACATAACTGAACCGGTCCTGGGCATTCTCAAGGTAAACTCAGCTCTTACCATGTAACTGGAGCATGTGTGTAAACTTCAGCATTTGAGATACATATGCGCTGGGCGAAGCAGTCCACACCACCTTATCTTGTGCTGTGCCAGTCCTCATTAGGTGAACAGTAAAGCTATCACCCCAACCGTTGGGAAAGTACCATCCGAGGACCCAATCAAAACCATCACCTTGCCATACATAGCAGGGGCCACTAAAAAGATATTCAAAATCATGAGCAATCACAAGGTCCAGGTTCGATTTAACAGTGCATAAAATTCATGATCTGATCCCATCTGTGAAGGATGTGATCCCTGACATGCAATACCCCGATGTCTACAAACCAAGCTGTATCTGCCAATGGCAGAGCCAGGATTTTCAGGTAGGGGGGCAACCCCTCCAGCAATGAAAATTGATAGGAGTTGTTCGAAAGTAAGGACTTGTCCCTTGCTTTTTATTCGACGCGTGTGCGTTGATGGCGCAGCCATCGATCGAGGGTCGAATTCGAACCGCGGTGTGTGATCAGCATCGCGCTCGCTGAATCTATGCCTTCGGGGAAGTCGTGTACTGTATACGCAACTGCAACTGCGCACAATTCTGAGTCACTTATAACTGCTTTGGGTCCATAATTGGCAGTATGTAACGGCAGACTAATGTCCTATCATCTCATAGAGTCCCTGGCACATAATAATATGCTACACAGTGGCAGTGGGGGGGGGGGGGGTCGCAAAATGCCGATTTATTACTAATAAACCTGAATGATCCGATCGAAATCTATAATTTCGATCGGATCATTCAGGTTTATTAGTAGCACGTGCCACCCCCCCCACCCCACTGGCTCCACCAGCGGTGTCTGCGGCAGTAGTTACAATGGGGAAACTAAGAGACATGTCTTGGACCGTGTTCGCGAACATAAGGCAGATCTGAAACACGGTATGACCAATACCTTGGCCGTGGCTGATCATTGTTTTAATGCGGTGGGCTCACACGAAATTGATTTCTCTCAGACGAAGATACTTTGTAATACCACTGGCTATCAACAAAGATTCGTTCATGAAGCCATCCATATATATAGATAGACACAATTTCAACCGAAAAGATGGGTACAAACTGAGCAATCATTGGAAGGACGTCATCAACCAGTTTAAGTCATAATTGGCAATCATGTTCCCATCCTACCACCTTCCTATGTTAGTTGCGCTTTACGCCCATTTCAAACTTGCGCTTTCACAGTCACTTCACGCGCCGGACCCCTTGGTTGAGGCTCTGAGATCTCCCATTAACATGCTAATCTCTCTTTAATATGCTAATTTTCACCTGGCAGCCCTTTGATTGGTGGAAAACGAACCACCGTCGGGTTGGCTGTCCACCACTTACATTATCATTTGCTGCTGATATTTGGGCTACGCCCATTTCAAACCCTTATAAACGGTTTGCCTTGGAAGCTAACCCCCATTTTTCTGAAGACGACCGCTTGTGTTGCGATCTAAAAGTCGTAGTTTTTTGTTATTTTTCTTTGAACCTATCTACGCGACTTCACCAAAAGACCCAAGAATAGGTGAACAGCACTTTCCCCAAACGATCTGTTCAGTCTAATTTGGAGACTGTACACATTATGCAATTTCTGTGTGCGTAGGGTTGCCTGGTGACTGGTGTTGTATGTTACCTGCTCAAACGACTTGAGCCCAGCCTCCTTGCCCAGACGCACCATGTCGTGAAGGATGGCTGCACGAACATCCTGCCGCGAAAATTACACTTTTATTACCGACTGCGTTGAGGCCACTGCGACAAAACACGTGACAATTGGCGCACTAAACTTTCACTGACTTTTATAATTGCTGTTAAACTTACAAAAGTTAAGTTTCCTCGATTCAAAGACTAGTGCTCTCCCTAGCAAAGCTGCTGCAAGAGTTAGGGGCATTCACCTTGTTTATGAACACAGAGTTTGGGTTACACTTGATGCCTCGTTTCTGCACCCAGCTTGGCAGAACCTCCATGTCCGGCACCACGATGCACACCAGGCAAGACTGAGCAACCAACAAAATCAGCTTGCGTCAATATCAAATACCTGCCAAGAAAGGCATTGGTGGCGTGCCAGCGCAATGCATTTGCACGGTTTGCGTAACGCCGAGCATGTACACACTCGATTGTATGCATAATTATGCTTTGTTGCAATTTTTACACAAGTCTCAAAATTAACATTTAAGTAAAAAGGCTTCGTCTTTAAATTTAAGTAAAGCCAAAAAAACCTGATGCTTTCCTGAAACGATTCTTTGCACTCAAGAACTAAAATGGGAATGTCCATTGTTTATAGTTCCGTTGCAATCAGTGGGACAGTGTGTGCTTACAAAAGTACTTCGTCTCATTTCCAGGCCACCAACTGCTCCTTTGCCAACACCACACAGTGGTCACATGAGAGATTATTTTCCAAACCGCTGCCTATAGGACAAAATGTAAAAGCCCATAGCGAACAGGACCGGTCCAGATATCACTCATCAAGAATGTTTGTGAACAGGTCCTGGATTCAGAGCATAGTGCGGTAACCAGTGCGCCATCCTAATTGTTTTGTAAGTCATATATATTATTTAACACAATTTACACGTTTTAACATGATCCTTCACTTTGCAGCTTTAGAATAGTGCTATAAACTGTACTGACTAAAAAACACATTGCTTGCACAATTCAATGGCGGAGCTGTTTACCTGCAGGCTGTCTCCGTGCACGAACACCTGGGCCACGGGCTCACTGCGCACGTACACCGTCTCAATCTTCTCTGGGGCGATGTACTCTCCCTGCGACAGCTTGAAGATGTGCTTCTTCCGGTCAACAATCTTCAGTGTTCCATTCTAACAAACAAACACACAGGTCCGAAGCATGGCAAGGTGAGCGAGTAAATGCATTTTTAGTTTGTTGTTGTTCACCATGCTGCTACCACTATAACACAAGCAGATGTCCGAGTGTTATTTTTAATAATAATCTGCAATCCACTACTGGATATGAGGCTATTTTTTCTTTAGCATTTACATGTGACCATATCTGAAGATGCTATGTCGAAACAGATTTATCTTATGGACAAAGGCGATTAATCATAGGCAGAGGAAAAACATGAATGTCCAAGACTTGAACAGGGGGCGAGAAGCCAACAGCATGGATTTTTATTTGTGCATTTATTTATTTATTTCAGGAGGAAGGGCCCAATGAGCTGTCAGGCTCTATTTCAAGGGCGTCCTGCAACGGCACACGGTATAGATCTTAGTTACAAGCATGGTTATATAGGCATGATATAAACAGCAAGTATCGGGAAGTGAGATGAGGGCCTCCCCATGCCGTGTCGGTCATATCACACCTATGTTAGCCGTGGCCGGGAATCGAACAGGTCGCCAGATACACAGTGAATTGCGCTAACCACTGCTCCTTCATTCTAGCCATGAGTTTTGTTATGCTGGTATTAATATTCAAAGTGAAAAAGTATTGTATAACTTTATGTTCATGTCAGTAGCAATTCATTTTTCAAGCACTGTATCGTTAATACACGAATTATTAGTATGCATAATGCATGTTCACAAAAAAAGCGTAGACTGTTTAAGAATAGAGTACGTTTATACAAATGAAAACATGAAACAACACGATGGTAAGAGAGAGAAAAAAAAAGCACTCGGTGGCGAGATGTCATTTCCCCTTGTCTGATATGCAGTAGCTTGTGGAGTTTGCATGTTCCTGCTACCTGTGGTCGTGTGGCGTTTTCTCCAGGTCCTCGATTTTTTACCCTCCACATTTAGAAACAAGCATTTACATTATTTGGCTCCTACAAATTCCAACATACAAGCTACTTTGATCAGCTATCATGTGGGACCAGATTGCCTCTGAAAAGCACCAATAGCCAAGTGGTCTCTACCTGGTGAACAAAAGAGGTCAGTTTTTTTTATTATAAAATTGCAACAATAACTTTCGAGAGATTTCATTGATTCACTTGGGAGGGTTGAATTGTTACGTAAACTATTAACAAACTTTTATCCAGCGGTATATTGTCAAAAGCCTGTAAATGACTAATTTCTATTATCGTGCTATTACAGTGCCCGTATAGGCATGCGTAAAAGGGGCAGAACTCACAGGCAGCCACTTGCCGATGTCGCCCGTGTGGAGCCAGCCATCCTCATCCAGAGCCTCAGCGGTCCGCGTTGGGTCCTTCAGGTAACCCTTGAACACATTTGTGCCATAAACACACACCTGCACACGCACACACACAAATGACCATGAATATATTTTCATGTTTCTATAACTTACTTTTACTACGAATATTTTTTGTTTAATGTGTGCAATGCAAAATTTGTTGTTTATAGTTGTGCACCGTTTTTCTGCTACGTAGTAATTTTTTGTCCCATTTCTATTTGGTTACATTTGCAGATTTATATTTGTTTCATTGTTGTTGTACTCATTTTAATGCGATTGCTTGTCATTTTGGCAAGCCAGATCGCTCTTTCAAACCAAACTTGCATTTGTCTCTTGATTTCTCACCTGGGTAAACAACATACACATGAAAACCCAAAACGGTCACCCCACTTAAAAACTGGATCGACGACTAGCCACGTAGTTCTTCAAATTGTTCTCGTACAATGTGGACTCAAAACGATGAAATATTAAAGGAAATCTAACCCAAAGTATATTGTGTAAAGTTTCATAATCGTATTAATAAAACATCACAATTATAACTTTTGAAAATTCTGGCAGTTCTCTATATGTATGCCAAGTTTACAAAAGTTGCATGCATGGACACGTGAAATTACATTCATGAGATTATGCACACACACGGTCTTACCTCTCCCTCTCCGTTGGCAGCAAAGTAGTTCATTTCTGCTACATCCACCACCTTGATGTGGTTACACGGCATCGGAGGTCCCACGTGACCTGCAAGACACCGGCAAATAAAACCCTGCAGTTTCAGTGCCAAATGCAGTGGAAGGCTGAGTGGGATTTATACAATATTTATGAAAGAATACATGCCAGTGGCCTAAATGTAGGATTCATACAATGTCATCAACCATGCCTTAAAACAGGGGCCATATAAAAAAAAATGTACGTAACAAATTCCAACAATTCGTTACTTATTGTGGCAATATCATGACGAGATCTGTGACAATAATGGCTACAGGAGCTCTGACTGAGGGGTTTGGACCTCTGGTGTAGTACTACCTATACCCCCCAAGGTGGATGATCTTCAAGGAGGGAAATTGCACCCACAATAAGGTCGTGAGTGGGGCCCTGGTTAAACCCTTCATGATGAACAAGTGATTATTACCTTCAAATGAATTAAGTCTGTCACCGCGGTCTTACAAATTGCACACGAATTGATGCAATGAATATCACGTCGTGGTCTGCTTTTTGCTTGCAAGTTTCAGATTTACTGAAATACACCCGTCCTTGGATGGGCAAAAGGCTAGTTATCCATAAAAAAACATGAACCTGTAATGCGTATTTATCATTAATCTGGAGCAAATGAACTCTAAAGCATGATGAGAGATTTCTTAGATTCATGCCCCCAATCATTAGATTACATAAATGTCACAATTTCAGGGTCAAGAATCAATTCAAGTATTTTTTTTCCATTTCAGTTATATTGTTTATTTTTCCCCCTCTCTTGTTTGTACAGTTATCTTTGTTGAATCAACCTATATATCATTAGTGTAAACGATAACTTATTAATTATACCATGTACAATTCAGTGCATGCATATTAAGCATAACTGACGTATTATATGCTTAGAACTACAGCTTAAAGCAGGTTTCAAATGCATATTCCAAGCGTATAACACTAAAAAAAAATTCTGATTAAACGAAACCAGTATGCTCCTTTGTTGCAACAATTTGAAATTGCTTTCATCACAGCTCGTTTCCGTAGCACTGTGAGAACAAGGGAGATTAAAGGTAATCCTTACAAGAGCTTAGTAAGTGCTGGTGCTTCACACTGCCCTCCCCCTCCCCCAACATTCTATATTCATCCAATATCCCCGTGCATGCCTCAGTCCACACGTGGAAACCTGGAGCTATAAACTCTAGCAGCTGGAACAAAAATTCACACAAAAAGTGCGCGAGTCACGAGTGGAGCCCAGACCCAGGAAGAGTTACCCGCGGTGCTGTCGCTGGGCATGGTGAAGGTGCACCCAGCTGTACACTCGGTCTGCCCAAAGCCCTCGTACACCTGTGTGGTGTGAACAGGCAGAGGCAAGGGTGGACGAGGTCCATTATAAAATGCTGCTCTCTTCCCCCCACCCATCATTCTTTCCACTTCTATGACCAGAGGGCAGGACTTTAACAATTCAAACACAAACAGTCCAACATCCTCCCCACCACCACCACCTACTCATCCCATTACTGCAAGAACAAAGTAAAGTCTAAAATCGGCATCAGTACACAATGAAAACAAATACAATGTGGATTTCAGTGTTGCATATTTTCTTATGCTTATTTATCATTTCCATTTTCTATGCAAATAATATGGCTCCTTTGTAATATCGATTTTTTATCAACGAAGAAAAATTATGTAATTGTGACATGAAATATACTTTACAGAAATTGTGCTCTTTTACAAAATAACATATTCAATGAGGAACTCATGTTTGCAGTGGAGCGTGTAAACTTTAATGGCCTGTAAAAGTCCACGTTTTGCACTGAAGACAGCAATAATTACAAAAAATAAAAGCTGAGAAATATAAAAAAACCCCAAAAAAAGCTTTTCCAAATATATGTTGAGTTTCACGTTAGATAGTATAACAAAAAAGATCTATTCAATAATGAATGCCATTTAATCGGCACTTTCTAGAGGTGAATTAGGATTCCCCTTTCAACGTTGTAATACCTCAACAATCAACGTGCATTGTTAAATGTAACTGGTGTGAAATTCTAGATGTTCCAGTAATAAGAGAAGACCACTTACAGTGAGGGAAAAAAGTATTTGATCCCTTGCTGATTTTGTACGTTTGCCCACTGACAAATAAATGATCAGTCTATAATTTTAATGGTAGGTTTATTTGAACAGTGAGAGACAGAATAACAAAAAAATCCAGAAAAACGCATGTCAAAAATGTTATAAATTGAGTTGCATTTTAATGAGAGAAATAAGTATTTGACCCTCTCTCAATCAGAAAGATTTGTGGCTCCCAGGTGTCTTTTTTACAGGTAACGAGCTGAGATGAGGAGCACACTTTTAAAGGGAGTGCTCCTAATCTCAGCTTGTTACCTGTATAAAAGACACCTGTCCACAGAAGCAATCAATCAATCAGATTCCAAACTCTCCATCATGGCGAAGACCAAAGAGCTCTCCAAGGATATCAGGGACAAGATTGTAGACCTACACAAGGCTGGAATGGGCTACAAGACCATTGCCAAGCAGCTTGGTGAGAAAGTGACAACAGTTGGTGCGATAATTCGCAAATGGAATAAACACAAAAGAACTGTCAATCTCCCTCGGCCTGGGGCTCCATGCAAGATCTTACCTCGTGGCATTGCAATGATCATGAGAACGGTGAAGAATCAGCCCAGAACTACACGGGAGGATCTTGACAATGATCTCAAGGCAGCTGGGACCATAGTCATCAATAAAACAATTGGTAACACTACGCCGTGAAGGACTGAAATCCTGCAGCGCCCGCAAGGTCCCCCTGCTCAAGAAAGCACATATACATGCCCGTCTGAAGTTTGCCAATGAACATCTGAATGATTCAGAGGACAACTGGGTGAAAGTGTTGTGGTCAGATGAGACCAAAATGGAGCTCTTTGGCATCAACTCAACTCGCCGTGTTTTGAAAAGGAGGACGAATGCTGCCTATGACCCCAAGAACACCATCCCCACCATCAAACATGGAGGTGGAAACATTATGCTTTGGGGTGTTTTTCTACTAAGGGGACAGGACAACTTCACCGCATCAAAGGGACGATGGACGGGGCCATGTACCGTCAAATCTTTGGTGAGAACCTCCTTCCCTCAGCCAGGGCATTGAAAATGGGTCGTGGATGGGTATTCCAGCATGACAATGACCCAAAACACACGGCCAAGGCAACAAAGGAATGGCTCAAGAAGAAGCACATTAAGGTCCTGGAGTGGCCTAGCCAGTCTCCAGACCTTAATCCCATAGAAAATCTGTGGAGGAAGCTGAAGGTTCGAGTCGCCAAACGTCAGCCTCGAAACCTTAATGATTTGGAGAAGATCTGCAAAGAGGAGTGGGACAAAATCCCTCCTGAGATGTGTGCAAACCTGGTGGCCAACTACAAGAAACGTCTGACCTCTATGATTGCCAACAAGAGTTTTGCCACCAAGTACTAAGTCATGTTTTGCAGAGGGGTCAAATACTTATTTTCTTCATTAAAATGCAAATCAATTTATAACATTTTTGACATGCATTTTTCTGGATTTTTTTGTTGTTATTCTGTCTCTCACTGTTCAAATAAACCTACCATTAAAATTATAGACTGATCATTTCTTTGTCAGTGGGCAAACGTACATAATCAGCAGGGGATCAAATACTTTTTTCCCCTCACTGTATTCGTCCTGAATAAGCACAAAGTCGCGTTTTCTTAACACTCATATTTAAGCCATTATTTTGCGTAGGAATGTTTTTTTTACCCAACAACACTACAATCACTTCCATGGAAACCATATGCACGAGTCAACCCAAGAAAAATGCTACACCTTTAATTAGGCATGTTGGTCAATATTTTCTTACAAAAAAAGCAAAAGGTCCTTTGAAAAGTTTTTATTTTGATTTCTATTGTAAACACAAATTATATCATTGTATTTATCATGCAAAAGCTTTCCAGTGACAAGTCAAGGCTAAGCAGCAATATATTGACACAACGTGAACTACGGCCTCCCAATGCCGTGCAGGTCACGGGGGTTTACTCGACCATACTTCACAACACGGTTGGTGAAGGCGGGCCATAGCATAGACACAGGATAGCAACATGAGGTTTTTGGGTTAGATCGTGTAAATATAAATGTGTTAAACCCACCACTACCCGACAGCCAATTAGTAAGGTTTGTCATGTAAAACCAAACATGCCAATTCGTTACTAGTACACCACACCACTTTTGGAGAGTAAACCCACAACATTTACAATTCGAGTATGACGTTTTCGCCAGTAATTACAACAGCATCATCAGGCGACTGCCAGAGTTGTGGAGAAATCCTCTTGTTTCGGTCTTAAATAGCGGGATAAATGTGATGTCATCGCTTGGGAGCCAAACTGGTGAAGGCCAGTGGAGGGGTTAATGTAGGCATACAAATTACAATGGATATAGCAACACATTTCGATGCACTGCCCCCTGCTGCCCACCACATAACCCCACAGCTGCCTGTGACAACTTGGCCTGCGTGTTGGTGGTTGGCCACCCAAACACTATCCCGAATCAACTCTTGACAACATCGGGCCATTTTCCTGGCGATTTGGTCATAGGCAAACAATAACATTCTCGTGTGAAAACCGACTTTGCAGGGAGACTCACCTGGCAGCCAAGGATGGCTCGAAGGAAGGTGAGGATAGACGCGGAGATGGGGGCGGCTCCAGTGACCATGAAGCGGACACGACCTCCCATGCTCGCCTGCACGGCGCAGGGGTAAAAAGGCATGCATGAGAGACCACGGCACGAGGCGCCGTCAACCCTACAAAAGGCAGTCTTTTCTCAGCAACTTGGAGCCAAGAAAATATACCCCACGAGAAGCATGTTTATTTATGACATGATTAACAACGACATTGGGCTCATGTTTAAGTCCACAGGTTAACCTCCGATTAGCAAGGTTGGCTACGTACAGTGAAGGAAGTTCAACATACATTAATATATTTAAAAAAATGTTTTATCAAGGTGTGCCCCAATGATAGGACTCGTGTGACAATGCACGGAGGAAACTCTGTAGAAATCACTCGATCGAAATTCCAATGGAAGTCCTTGTCTGTCTAGAATGCAGAATATGCTGTGCAGCCAGAATTGGTATTAATAATAATATGCAAACCCATCTTTCTGGACCTGCCCAGCAGTCATCATTTCGATGACAGCCATCACACTTTTATTTTAGGGCTTGCCCCTACGGTGTTAATAATATAATTGTTTGCCGAATGTATTATGCAAAACAAAGTGGAAGACCATTGGCCCTATACAGCTACCCGGTTATGGCAAGGCCAATGGTGAACAGACGAACACGTGAATGTGGACAGCAGCGGGCACCTGCACACGGTGGAAGATGAGCTTGTCCCAGATGCTGTCCTTTCGCACGACGCCGCAGCGCAACTCGGCTATCTTCCGGCTCACGGCAAACTCCAGCAGCCAACGCTTGAAGTGAGATTTGGCACCGCTGAGCACCTGCAGCATACAACATTGGCAGTCATACTCCTCCTCTACCATTGCACTCATTAGGGTCGGATCATCACGCCTGAGATAAACAAAATCTTTTTGAGCCTGGGCCAAATTTTGAAGGGCTTAGCCACAGGAGTATAAAGGTAAATGTGAGGCCTTGCAGCAATTACCTGGTCATGCCACTGCTGGCAGGAAGTTCTCTGCAAGAAGGGAGTTCGAGAAAGCCCCTCGATGAGTGTATTTTGCCAATGCTGGCAATACATTTCGGATCTGGCGGGAGTACCCACCGTTTACCCCACCACATGCAACCTGCCAATAGACGAACTGTGCTGTACCGATTTAAACCGCTACACTTGGGAGATCGAACCGGTCACCTGTAGAATGGAAGTCCAGTGTGCCACCATTATACCACGGCAGCATCCATCAGCATAGGAGGCTGCTGCATGGAATAGCATTTCCAAGAAAGGGCATTCCTGGTGTCCATTAGATGTCATATCATGCTGCCAAGAGTTACGATGAAGCAAAGTTAAGTAGGGTTCTAATGCACCTACTTTGTCATGGATTCTAATGCACCTACTTTGTCATGGATTCGGTTGAGCAGACGTGGGACGACAGGGAAGACGGTGGGTTGCAGAACCTTCATATCATCCATGAGTAACCTTATATCACCCTGATAAAAACCTACTCGGCCACCGTTGCATAAAATGGAGGCCTGAACACGTACACACGCAAACACACATACCCTTAATGTTTGGTTATTTAAAAAGGTGCATTTGCCTACTTATGGAGACTTTGGAAAGCAACTCGACTAAAACTTTATTCTCATGGGGATATCAAATGGCACTCGTATGGTATTCAGAGAGACGATTGAAAGACTGTCAATACATTGCTAACAAAATATACCAAATACTCTATGTATATATACACATATGAATGAAGGACTGCGAAGGTTTTCCGATTGCGCTGTATAGCTCTCCAAATGTTTACGGGCCATACCGTATGTTTTTCCTTCAGGAACTATTTTTCTCTTGAAGAAGCCCCCAATACTTTCGGCAAAACGTCAGACATGTTGAATAATACGCGAGGAGCTCTATGAACTAATTGCACAAAACTCTAACGGCAATATTTCACCTTGCACTAAGATGGTTTGAAAGTTAAAGGGCAGGACATTATTACCGAACAATATACCACACTGTACCCAGCGGCATGGTAACTTGGACAGGGAAGCTCAATCGGTGCAGGACACAAATTTAAGAACCTCTAATAATTGTCAATCATTGAGCCCGGTCAACAAAAAACGTTGACTTATATTACCTCAACGAGCCTTTCAAACATGTGAGCCAGTGGGAGGAACGAGATTAAAACGTCGTCCTTGTTGGGTAAAAACGTTTCCTGTGAAATAAAAAAAATAAAACCAGTTAGTCTCCAAACCAAACAGATGTGGAATTACCCAGCTTGCACTTAGTTAAAGGAGTACTAATTCCGACAAGCGTACACAGTGTAGCGTAGAGTGGTGTAAAACACAGCATGAGTACTGCACATGACAAACAATTTAGAATAGTGCAATCGACTTAAAACTTACAACACAAGAAGACTAAATATGATGGAAAATATAACGTATAACCGTTTGTCAATCCACTGCTGTAATGGATGTTGTTCGACCAAATTTCACCACGCTGGTCTGTGCAGGGTGGGTGCAGTGGTGGAGGGGGGGGCCGAAGCCCAGGATGAGTACAGTTACAGGTGTCAGCGTGACCTCGAAATGAACTGGGGTCACAGTCCACAGCACAGTGGCCACACCACTGTGCCACCACAAGGGTGGCAGGGGCTAGCTAAACCACAACATTGCCATTTGCTGTATAAACACAGCGAGTGCTACGAACGCAAGGCTGTGTACCAGCTCATACCGACCGTCTCGAATATGAAACTCAAAGTTAAATCGGGCGGGTCAAGTTGTAAACAGGAGGTGAACGCTGGAACACTCCAACCTCAAATAAATCAATGGTGCGAGAAAACAGCAAAGAAAAGAGCTTCAAGAGTTTAGCACAGATTCCACACGACAGACAATACGGTTTGAAGACAAACAATGTAAGTATGCGATACGCTTTTCATGGCAGTGTTGTTACCTTAGTAATGGCCAAAAAAGCAGAGAAGTCGGAAATCATGTTCTTGTGGGTTAACATAGCACCCTTAGGATTTCCTGCCCAACAAAAACAAATGGCATGAGAGTTTACTGTAGTCACCACAGCAACTCAGCAAAGGCATTGCATTGCATCAACTTAACCGTTTCGGTTGATAAATTTGACTATTCCTCAAATACGTACCTCACGTAATTTTTGAAGTGGTCATAAATTCTGCAGTGTACATGACAACACATTTCCAATACTGGCACTTTCAAACACTAATTTCTTAAGTAACATTACCCTCGATGTCTTTTAATGCTTCAGTAAAAACTTAATCGATCTTTAAAAACAATTGAACTTAACATTTACACAATAAAAATACAAAATAATTCTAATTACACTTGTTATAACAATCCTCTCTGCTGATGAGACCCAACCGTTTTAACCCAGGTCCTATTTGCTGTGCTTACACAAACGCTGCTCCATTAGGCTAAACACATTTTAATTTTCACAAAGACACGGAGGTATCATTAAGAAAAATATAATTGAACCACGAATCAATATCTTTATGAATACTGGAGGAATAAGACTGGCTATAGTTATTTTTCAACAGATGTCCCACACAAAACACAATGCAACACCGCACTTATTTTTGTATTGGTCAATACTGGTGTTCACTGCATGTTGAACTTTGCAAACACAGCGACTGAACCATCAAAGATGTTTTACGGTGCACAGCTCTCCCAACGTGTTTTCAGGTTGTAAAAGAGTGTTCTTTGACACATTGTCCGACGCTTCCCTCCACCTACGTACGTACCAACCGATTAGCACGGTTGCGAAAGAAGTTCAACATACATAGAGTGGGATGATTTCAGTTTCTCATGAGGCTCCCACACAGCATGGTGCAGCGAAACGATGGGACAGCTTCGACAGCAACTTAATTGCTCCCAGGACGTTAGGTGTAAGTTTTTGGTCTAAGATTAAACGGAAAGTGAAACATCATACACCATGCCAAACACGCAGAAACAACCCAAAAACACATCCCAGAGCTTTAAAGCACAACGCAGTAGTATAGTCTTCGTGCATTTTAAGATCCACCCAAGGTGTGTCCCAATGATGTTGCCGGTGCTTAGACATATATTCTGTGTGTGCACGACCGGAACGGTGCAGAGGATATGACAGCCAGCTTGCGCAAGTGGATGCTCACCTGTCGTTCCACTTGTGTAACAAATGATGGCGATATCATCTGGCTGAGGCGGCTGCAGAAAAACAAGGAAATCCATTTGGCGAAACCGACTAAACACATCGTACGTATTACTCTTGATTTGAATTATATTTTGCCACTGTGCGATACAGATTTTCACCGTACTTACAATTGGCTCTCTGTGATTTGTCTTTCCAATGACCTGAAAAACATGTTACATGTTTACAAACGTTATTTGCCCCATGTAAAATCGCACGACACCTGCACACTCAAATTCACTGCAACAAATTAAGAGCCATACAATGCAGACAAGGCAATGACGGATTAAAATAATAATTACCTCCTATCTGGCGGCACACGTGATACTCGTCCCCCCCCCCCCCCGACTATTGTCACATTGTCAAGACTAGTCGACGAATCAAACTGACAATCATTACATCCATAAAAAGCTTCAACAACCAGATAGCAAGTCTACAAGCAAACTGTTATGACAGCGTTGGCCCATAACACACATACGCGCGAGGGCTGGAGACACGCGCACCTCCGATTAGCGAAGGTGGCTATGTACGGTACGAAAGAAGCTCAACGTACGTAGTTCATACAAATGGGCGACATCGGGCCACATCTCACCTCAAGCTCGCGGAAAAGGATTAAGTCGATTCCACACTTGCGGGCGCGCTGCTCCATCACGCCGTCGAAGGGATCCATGACCACGATGGTTTTGACGATGCGGATCGCACCCTCCTCTATGCTCTCCAGCAGGCCCTTTACCTTCTCCAACTTGTCACAGACCACCATGGAGATCTCCGCTAAATGTTCAGACCCCCACAATGTGCACACAGCAATCAACAGAATTGGAGGAATAAAGCATACGTTTTGGAGGAATGAGCAGAGTATTGAATGACTGTGACAAGTCCATTACACTATGGGGACCTCTCTTACCAGTATCAGAATATAAGAAAAGGTTTCACCCCTTCTGGCAATAAAACAGTTGTGTTAAGATGTTAAAACAACAAATTGAAACCTTTTGCAAGGAATCATGCCTGCGTGAACCACACATACTTGTGGTGAACATGCAAACAAAAAACATGCTCTGGTAGTATATGCGTTGTCTTTGAAACCGATTGGTCCACACCAGCGACAGCTTTCTTCAGAGCCTAGCAGCTGCTCACCCCGAGCTCTTAATGCCCTGATAGTGGCATTGTCTTTTTGTGCTGTACGCCCTTTGGCGTCCTCTGGTCTAACACCGTTTGAGACGAGGCTCTAAAGAAAGCCGTCTCTGGTGTGGACCAATCAGTTTCAAAGACAATGCACATAACTGTCAGAGCATGTTTTTTTGTTTGCATGTTCACCACAAGTATATGTGGTTCATGCAGGCATGATTCCTTGCAAAAGGTTTCAATTTGGTGTTTTAACATCTTAACACAACTGTTTTATTGCCTGAAAGGGTAAAATATATTCTTATATTTAGACTATTACACTCTCCATGTCTTATTTTTTTTACAAATGCAGAAAATTGTAATAAACGGTGGCTCATTTAAACCATCTGATCAGAAGAGAAAGTGTTAGAATTGCTACAATGGGCCGGAGACTTGACTTGAGATTTTGTAGTATAAATATGGTTTGATAATATCCAAATTGCAAGTCACAATGCATAAGCAGCTGCAGAAAAACAAACCCATCCAATTCATGTTTGTGCACCCCACGTGCACCATGTTTGTAAATAAACTTGAGCCGAATATAAACACAACAGTATATCTCTCGTCACTGCAGGGTTTTTCAAACTTCAGCCCTCAGATCCACTCCGGTCCACATTTTCATATTTACCACTCTTCTCCGTTATAATACAATTAAGTCATTACAAAATTGCACAATCCTGACGATTGACAATAATCGCACATGATTCAGCAATTGCCAATTCAACGTAACGCTGTCATTCGCCACCAAGTGACCGTGATGTCACACACCACAGCGGTTGTGCAATGCTAGTTTTGCCACGCTAAGTAGTTAGACTGATGACCTTAATTTAAGTTGTCTTGTGGTTGTTGTTGTTTGACTTGCATCCCATTGGGATTTTTGCACACAGCGTTGGTGTACGGTGCTTTTTCTGGAATATTTTGCTGTTTTTTTCCTGGATTTTCTGTTTGCACAGTCACATAGTCACTTTAAGATGTTTTCTTGTTCATGTTTTTGTTTTTTGTTTGTTGCGGTTGCACCCGATTCAAGAGCCGAATGGCTCACAGGGCTATACCAAATAAATGAAACTGAAAACTGAAAACACACTTTGAGACCAGGTGAAGTATCAAAGGATTGCTCTCTGGCAGGAGGTCACAGGCCAGACCCAGGTGTTATGGGTTAACAACAGATTGAGATGACTGGAAGATGCACCGCCGGTGCTCCCCACTGAGGCATCTTGCGTGACACACACACACATTAATTTGAATCAGTGCTCTATATGTCACGTGGAACTCTCGCTTGGCAATCACCAAGTACGCATTATTGTAACTTATCTGTATTTGAATGAAGATTGTAAACATGAAAAGGTAGGTGGGTTAAGGGTTGTAATGATGAGATTCTGTAAAACCGGCTGAACTGAATCCTATAATTATAATGTTTCAGTCTGATAAATAGGATGGCCCTGGGCATATTGGAGCAGTTATAGTTTGAGAAATCCACCGCCTCCAGAGAAAAGAATATCCTGACATAAATTACTATTTTATGTATGCTAATTTTACATTAAAATGGGCAGGAATAGTGTATAGTCACGAAGGCACACGTTAAAAAAACAAGTAAAGATGTGGGCAGTGCCATGCATTTGTTATGTTCCACTATTACAAAACATTTCCCAGGTACGAATGGCTATTTGTTTGAAGTTTTCCCACCAGCATGAAAACAACTTGCATCTTGGTGCACATTATGAAGTCTGTTTAATAATTTTTTGTTGAAATAAAAAAAGGTCTGAATAACTGAAATTCAAGAATGCATGGCAAATGTTCATCGTTTCCAAACTCCCACGCTTTTTTATTATATACATACATATGCACGCAGCAATAGATTTATACTTATTAACCAAACTAGTACCTATAACTTATGTTTTAAACATCCATGCTACATTCTCTGGAACACAGTTACAGTCTCACCTGTGATTAAACCAGTTTCTCTATTGTCACAAATTACTGTACAAAAAAAACATTAAATACAGTCCTGGACTCAAATTGGCTAAATTCCAGTAATGAAAAGTGAAAATATTGGTTTGACCGTCACACTGAAAACATTACTTTCGATGGCAGGCAGGGTCGGTGGGTGCTGGTACTACTGTATGGACCAGAGGTCACTTGAAAGACTCGCAGGAGGTAGCTCTGTGTCACATGCTTCAATGGGCCATTCTCTAACACTACTCTGCGACAAACTCAATGGATGCCTCATCTTGTGACATAACACCATAAACAACAATTGGGGGGGAAAGCCACGAGGGCTAAAACAATTCAAGATTCTCAACGTAAAACAGTGATACTATTTTCCATGGTTACGAGTTGTACCCTGATTATTGTGGGGCGCCACGGTGGCGAGATGTTAACTACCTTGCCTGGTATACAGGTCATGGGTTCGATCCCGACCTTGATGCCTGTATATGTGGAGTTTGTATGTTCTCCCTGTAGTCATGTAGATTTTTTTTTTCCGATCCGGGTCCTCCTGCTTTTCCCTCCATGTTTATAAACATCCTTTTAGAGTATTTGCCCGTTTTACATTTCCACATGATAAGCCACTTCATTGAGCAATCATTTGTGGCCAGGCCACTTCTGAAAGAGAGCTATATAGCTCAGTAGGACTTACCCTAAACAATAAAAATACAATACCTGTGTATAGATGCATGCACATACCCTGATTGATGATGTAGTCAATGGATTCTCGTCCCAACGTATCATAGAGTGGGACCACCACCAAGGAGTATGTGTAGCAGGCTTGCTCCGCAATGATCCACTGCAAGAGACAAGTCCGTTGTTTAAACTCCCCCCTAGAGATGACCAATTCAGCAAGCGAGTTGTGAATTCACGGAGACCGTGCAAGCCGATGTCCACAACCATGTCGATTGGTCGTGTACCGATTCTGCTCTGGTGATTCAATGAACTGTCATGATTCGGAGTTGGGATTTGATGCAAGAATAAAAATGTGTTGGCATTGTGGTGAATGCAGAATAAATAGATGCTGCAAGGATTATGTAAAGAAATTGCATACAACATACGAATCGAATATAAGAGCCCTGCATGCTCCATGTGTCAACATCGATTAAATGTACCATTAGTTTCACATCTCGTATGAATAGTTTCCTGTTGTTTATGTCCGATTTGCAGTTGTTTGCTATATTGGCATACATTTTAGTTTAGTACACCAATTGCATAAATCATAATCAAGTCACACAGGCACAATTTGATACATGCATTGCGAGTGTAAATATCGACATCAATAGATGAATAGATGCAATGCTCCACACGCCTGGCGATGGCAATTTGAAAGGGCATTGCATGGAACATGTTGTGGAAGAGCCGAGAGATTAGTGCCATCACCTCAGGCCGATTCTGTGAGAAGATCCCGATGACTTGCTCAGACGATGGCTTTGCCCCAAGGTGCAGGAACCCTGACCCCAGATACTCTGCACGATCCGAAGTCTGCGGAATAAACACAGATGCACATAATAGGACAAACATTTGTTATGGTACTCGGGGGGGGGGGGGGAAAGGGGTAGCCAGAGACATCATATCTAGAGTATCTGGCTGCTATACATGTCCACATTATAAGACACTTCCTTGGGCTATAATTCCTGGACAGGTCACTTCTGAAAAAGAGATATATAGCAGTGGACCTTACCTGGTAAAATAAAGTGATTAGTTTAGTCGTATATCCTCTGGCATGAAAATCAGCACCTGGTCTCAGAAAATTACCAGTGAAAAATAGACTCACTTGCTTCAGAATGAGTCTTCGGAGGGTAAAAAAAAAAACACTATAAACATAACTTAGAAAATTATTAACCGAACAAGATGCTCAGACACGAAAAACAATGCTCGTATGCTGCTGTGTGGCTCGTGAAGAAGAGAGGCCTCACCTCTCATCGCACTATTCCCCTGCCACAAACTCTACATTCCAGCAAACAAAGCTTTTGAATTAAGCCACCAGGGAACCTTCGCTCGGTGAGAATTTTCACGTTATCCTCTGCTGCCGCAATTGTATGGAACTAACTTCCCACAGCCACCTGTGCTGTCAACTCCCTGCCCAAGTGCAAATACCCCCACCTTTTTTCCCACCTGGCTCTACTTGACCATCCCTCGAAAGTAAATCTGCCCACTGTTCTTGAGCGTCTTGAGATGCAACTGCGTTTACACCATGCAAAGTATATAGTAATGTATCGATGATTCTGGCGAGTCATGTGACCGGGCATGTGTGTAGAACTTCTTTCGCACTGTATGTAGCCAACCGTGCTAATGGGAGGTGCAGAGAATGTTGGCAATTGAAGGGACTAATGTGGAAAAGGCCTACTGACGAAGAAAAGAAGTGTAGTTGTATTCAGTAACTGTGCAAGGGGCTGTTGCTCAGATGTCGTGCTCATATTTATAGTGTTCCAAGAAGTGTTCATTTAACAAGCGCGGCTCGTCAAATCCGTCTATATATCTATAGAAACACCAACAACCGTTTAACTTCAGCATTTGCTCCCTTGTGATAAGACACTGAGAGCATGTTTCTGCAATTAGTGGAAAAAAATTAATATATTGGAGGCACTTAAGGAAACATAAGAATGTTTTAAAGCTCTTAATATGATGCAATCCATACATATACATGGCTGCAAAGCAATTATAATAGTTAAGAATAATGTAATGGTTTGGATAATCAAAGAACATTCAATAATATGCAGTTTCTCAACACAAGCTCCAAAGATGTCAATGAATATTTGAACCACATTGCAGTTATGCGGCCAAACCCAGGAATGTGGCTGCCAAGTTCATGTGCATAAGTCTGAGCTTCCGTTAGAGATGGTAAAAAAACCAGTGAACACAGGGCATGTGTTTGTGTCAGTGACCATGGGACTGCATAGAATGAGCTCAGGGGGAATCTTCTATTGATGGCAGTTCAGCTGTCATGGGCTTGAGCCGCATAAATCTGTGTTTTTAGAAAGGAAGTTGGGGATTCGCAGCTGGGTGTGACATGCTTCACTCCTAAGATGAGTGCAGAAGTGATCGGCCATACCCGTGTTTAGTATGAAGTTCTGTACAGTACAAGTGGATTTGAGTTTCACTTCTCTTGTTGTGGCATCAGGGCTTCCAATTTTACCGTGAGCATTGAGAATACTTTCACAAGTTCATGTTTTAAAAAGTGAAACAGAATGGCAACGAATGAAACTGCATTGTAAACATCCCAAGCTGGTGGTCCCCCAACAGTATAACTCTCGCCACCCCCCGCCCCTTTGTAATACATCCACTCAGCACTATCAATCTCTTATTTCAATTCTGTAAAATAACAAAACCCATCAACAACAGAAACAATTAATGTAGGCTGGAAACAAACAAATTGACCACACAGAGGTATGCATCGCATGCACTTGAGCTGAGCCTGATCCAAAACACCAGCTCAAAAGAACTGAAAGTGTGGCCAATTTGTCGCGGACCACCAACTCAATGAATTGAGAAAATGTGGCCATCCCAACAGGCAACAGTAAAGCGAAGACTCCTGTAGACCAGGTTTCTTACTCATTACAACTCATTAGTACAGCAGTCAATGTTTGCTGCTGCTGCCATATGACTCTGCATCACTGTTGCCTGCTGGGATTGCCACAATTTCTAAACTCTATTTGAGCTGGTGGTATAAATGACAAAATAGCTATATTCAGTTCTCTTGAGCTTGTGAAATACACACCTTTGCGTGCAATTAAATATTTAAGCTCAATTAATTTCCAACCTGCATTTATTATTTGTTGCGATGGGTTTTCCTGTCAGTTACATTTAAATTGTCGCTTCCTTTAGGCAAGTGCTAATGAGGTCTCCATAGTGTAAAGGTACAAGTCCTCAATATATGGGGGCTCCCCAGAGGCATATGGCAGCAGCAGCGAACATTTCTTAACTGATGAGATAGGAAATGAGTTCTAATGAGAACATGTCTTTGCTGCAATGCTGTGTGTGGATGGCCACATTTTCATAACTTTATTGAGTTGGGTGGTCTAAACCAGTGCTTCGACACTGGTGTGCCACCTCCCGCCCTCCCCTTCCAATAAAGTGCGGTTAAGTACAGCAGACAGCCAAATAGCACCCACCGATCTCAACTCCCTCGGTAGCACATTCACAGTTTTGGGGGAAAAGGAGCAGCCCTGCAAGTTTATGCTCATGCCACTGCTGGCGGAAAGGTCTCCACGAGAGAAAGTTCAAGAGCCCCACCAGTAGAGGGTACTTGGCTATCTTTGAAGAGGTGGGCGTACACACAATTTACCCCACCACTGCTGCCTATTGTTGACTGCACTCCAAATTCTATTCAGTGCTTGTGAGCTAATGGCCTGGATAAGGCTTTTGTACATCCAATGCACACCTTAACGTGTGGCGAAATCTATAATCTCCTAAAACGTCAATGCTATTACACTGCCGAATTTCCGTAATCACGTACTCCAAATACAATTAACCACCACCACACACAACTCCTGCACACACGTGCATTTTTGATGGATATTTGTATTTCCTTTGCTTGTTGTGACTGACAGCAGGTCTGCAGACACCACCTCCCTCTATTATTCCTAAACAGATTCCTACCGCTCTCTTCCAGATCACCAGTCAACCGGTGTTCCACCGCCAAGGTGTTCTCACCTCTTTGTAAGAGATCCATTCATAGGGATGATTTGGTTTCCTGTAGCCAAGGCACGGTCCATTATCTAAATTGCAAGAGCAGCACAATATTTTCGGGATTAACAATTTATAAACGCACCTTGCTTGTGGTGTCGAGCGTGACATTTGTACAATTTGGGGCACAATGATTTCATGCGGAATATTCGTGTTGTTTTTAAAACGGTCGTAACTTTTATTTTTAAATGCCATACATCTTTTTAGCCTCAATCATTGACATTCGCAATTGCACAACATACTTTAATTTTCACTCTGACATGAAGCATGCACGATACTATAACTAAGTCATAGGAATAGGTTTTACCCTTTTAACTGGCACAAAAACTGACACCTTTATTCAAGGCATCATGTTTGCAATAACCACACCACAAGCAGTCAAAATGCAAAAAAAAAGACAACTCTGATAATAATATGCACTGTCCTTGAATTTGATTGGTCCACACCCGAGACGGCTTTTCTTAGAGCCTAGTCTCCACTGGTGTTGGACTCTTTCGGTCTTTCGGTAAAGTGACGTAGATAGAAAAATAATAGATCACGACGTTTCGATCGCGACACAGGCAATCGTCTTCAGGTGAGACGATTGCCTGTGTTGCGATCGCTATTATTTTTCCATTTACGTGACTTTACCGAAAGATCCAAAGAGTATGGTAACAATTACTATATTCCATTGTAATGACTAATGATCTTCACTGCTTGCAACAGTGAATTACAGCACGAGCTAAAGTTAACATAAAAAAACTACTTGCCATGATAATTATTTCGCAGCTAAACACTGCCCATAAAAATAGAATTAGACAACGTCAGCTGTTGTTTTGCCAATGAATGTGGGTCTTGTTTTTAGAGGTCGATAAGGATACCCAGAGACACTGCTATTAAGAGTAAATGAGCTCACTATTACGGTTTATGTAAAACATCGAACAAAGAAAAGGAAGGCAATTACAACAATAAAAACGTGTTCCGATGGGAGGCCAGATGAACTCAAGAGTTCATTTTTAAAACAATTGGTAGTGCTACATCCATTCATTTTAATATACCAAAACACAAAGACAAAAAAGATCAGGATACTCACTGCTAATTCGAAGTCCTCTTTGGAATACTTCATATCCTGTGCGGGCATCCTCATAAAAATACGTGAAGAATGTATCGTCGTCTGGTACGAGTGGACTCCTGCGCTGGTACTCGCGGCCCTGGCAAGAGGGCAGGGTTTCAGCGAACACATGCGAAGAGAAATTTCCTATCACCCAAGGCTCGGCAGAAAGCTTGCCATAACACCGCTGCCAGCACCATGTTCTAGGACATCGTAGGTGGTTCTCCTAAGTCATGGAGTTATTATGGGTGCCTGCGTAAGTTCAGGGCACATGGCATGCCATCATTGTCAATGCATTCGTTTTGATATTCCACAGAATTGATACACATTGCAGAGTACTAGATCATTTGTTCAAGCACAGAAACATTAATTAATTCACTCACCGTCATCGAAGAGCATAACAAGTTATTGTAATCATTGAGAGTAAATACGTAAAGGTATAGGGTCAACATCATGGTGCCGAATTGAGTAGCTTGCACCAACACGATTATACAATATATCAGCAGGACAGGAATTGATGCGCCGCCCACGCATTAAGAGCAAAGAAGTATTTATAATTTTAAGTTGGATATCTAAAAAGCAAAAAAAAGACTCATGATTATAGAGCTGCAGAATGATAAAAGCATCACCCACATAATTGACCAATATCAAATGCATTGCCTCAATACGACTTATAAAACAGGAACATGAGAAAATGAGATGTCTAAAATTGCTGAACTTCACGGCAATGAGAAGTATTGACAAGAGAAACATGCAACATATATAAAACTATGCGCACACAACAGTGATGCAAATGCATCCAATTTAAAGAACATAACATTTTCATGTTTTTTGTAATTCAAGCCCTAAAATAATACCCCCACAAACGATCCAACTAATAAAGGCAGCTAAAACCAGTTAAAGTCAAGAGGTTTAATCCTTATTCCAAGGTTTCTGCCACTTATACTGATATAGATTATCTCCAATGACCAAGCATGTATTACAGGTAAAGTTACCAATGATGGCGAGTGGGGGAAAATAATGTTAAGAGGTTGTGGAGTGGTAGGGGACGTCATCAGAATTGTATGCATCTAAAACGTATTTTCCTGGACCCCTATTATATTTAGATTATCAAGTCAAAAGTGAACATAAACCAATGGAAATTCCCTTTCCTGATTTTATGTGGAGGGCACGGTGGATCGACCATATAATCCTTTGTTTAATAAAATAATTGGCTAATTTTACCAGCGGTAAAGAGTGGCTAAATGTGGATAATAGGAAGAATCTGTTCCGTTCCTGGGAGTTACACTTCTTGGCCATGCAAGGGCTCGGATAAGCGGTACTGCTTGTGTCAATTGTTCGCTGGCAGCATTTTTCATATGTTCACCAGGCTGCTCCCGAAGCCGATTACTGAACTGCGAGTCACTTAATGAATAACACAAGCAAGTGAACACACCTATCGAATACCAGGGCAAAGCCCTTTTAATGAAAAGCGAGTAATAACTTGGCAGAGAACCACATGGGACATGCATAATGATGCTTTAGTCTAATGGTTTTGTTTTGAGGAACCCATTCACCCAGGCTGTCCACTCATAACAGTGCTACACCTGAGGCACACTCACACAAAGTTGACGGTGTGCTTGCTGTTTTGTGCACATAAAGGTGCACATTCTGTTAAGAGCCATTCTAGCATGGGAAATGCTTGCTTGGCCAAAATACACACTTCTTTCAAAGTAAGAAACTACTTGTAAACAGAAGAGTGCTTGTTAAGCGCTCAGCAATCATGCCTTTCTTGGCCACGTTAACAACACATGGGCTTATAAATGTGTCCTGCAATTATTTTGAACTCATTTGATTAATTGCCTTGATATACTAATTTAAAAAAAAACATTACTCTTGCTAACAGCTATTCTTCTGCCAGTTGTTGGTCATTATACTCATTATTTTGTACCATGTTAAAATAAAATGTATGAAATATGTGTGCAATGTTGTGACCATAAATAGGAAATTCTAGAGGATCCCAGCGACTCACTCGCAAGAAAGGATGTTTACATATTTTATGATTATAGGACGAACAAAGTTAAACTTGTTTTTACCAAACAAGTGTAAAAAGTCTCAGCTCACTTTGTTCAGTATTACTAGGAGTCAATGACTGAGGCACCCCGTGACATTGAAAACATACTTTCTGGCTATACTCCAAATATTTGTTTTCTTTTTTTAGAATGTATGTCCATCTAAAAAAAAAGCCAGAGGAAAATAGTTGGCATAAAAATGTCTCGGCTCTGTTCCCATTCGTGCCGGTGGAAGGGAGGTAACAAGAGATGCTCGGGTGACGTCATGCCGCTTGGCGTGGCCTGCAGGGTGTCCCTATTGATTTTTTTGGTTGTAACTTGCCGACCCTGTGCCCCGACCGGACAGCTGTGAAAAGAGCTTCATAGCCCATCAGATTCCTCCAGTCTAAATAAACATTCCGATTCTCATATCTCTAGCCTCTAGTGGGAAGGATTGTACAGGTGGGCCGCAATCATTACAGTGAGCTGAATAATCAACCACAAAAAAAAGAGTCGATTCAAATGTTTCACAATCGTATAATCAGCATGACAGACTCATGGTCCCAGCTCTAGTCTTAATCGTATTTTCAGGAGATTTAAGCTTTGTGATTGTTTGGCCAAGTGTGGAAGGAAACTGGAGCAACAAGTAAACCCATGCAAACAAGGGGGTGAAGCTTCAACTCAGCACACACTTGGCCACACGTGTACAAATGTAATCCAACCCTGCCAAACCCATGTGATGATGGGCACTTTAGCAGAGGTGACCATGACCGGCTTCTCAGAGTTCAGAGCGATGAGCTGGCACTGCTGAGATGTGTTAAAATATGGGCAGCTTCCCACGATTAAATGTGGTTTCCCGAGTGTTAAGAGTTGACGGTTTAAACCTGGTCACCAGTGACTGCACAAAAAATGATATAAAATTTGGCTTTGTGCTTAAGTTGGCGACATTTCAGCTCTGAGAATTATGCATATTAGTCCGACCGTCATGCAGCAATCTCATAGTAGAGCTTGCAGGAGTGTCCCCTCACAACTGTGAAAATAATAAAAAGGCCACTTCAAATCGCTTTTTTAGAGAAGACCTACAAAACATTTTCCCCTGCCTGTTCTGGACACATGGGAGCAAGCTGCACTGTGAGATTTCAGAATGGATTCTTCCTTTTCACAACACGACACCGGTAGCACAATTGAAATAAGTTGTGAAAGGGGAGGGTGGCGGGGTGGGAGGGAGAAGGTAAAAAAAAAAACGTAAGAAGCAGGAGGTGACCTCACCTTGACGGGTAGAGACTGCTTTGAGAGGTCGCAGGGTGCGGACAGAGCGCGGGGTCGCGTGGCGAGCCAGTAAGCCGTCATGGTGCCCAGCGCGCCCAGCCCCATGAGCGCCGGCGCCGGCAGCGAGCGCACGTACTGACGCACCTCATCCAGCTCGGGCACCCGCAACGTCTTCAGCACCTCCTGAGCAGACTGCATCTTGCCTGCGGTACACACGGAACATTGAAATTATTTAAATTATTTTGTTGATATACATTTTCCACGTGATAAGCCACTTTGTTGAGATATCAATTGTGGCCAGGTCGCTTCTGAAAAATAAGTTAATACCCGAGTGGGCTTTTCCTGGTAGGATGGGGATGGTTTAATTTAATTTGTATATTTTTTGGGTGATTTGTTCACCTTTCGTATACTTTGCACTACCATCGTGTTTTTGCATTTTTTGTTGTTGTAATGTTCTTATCCACCCCTACTGGACATCTGTGAAAGAGCTTTATAGTTCATCGTATTCCTGCGCGAGTCCTGCAGTCAGGACTCGCGCACTGGCCATCATTCACACGAGTCTAATTACGGTAGACACTATTATCCGCCGAGGCTGCTGGGGTGCGTCATACTGTGTGTAAATGACATAATGGCACGAATCATTTCTGGGTATACTTATCTTGTCGGTGAAAAACAGCAATGTAATTAATTTGGGGTTCCAGTGACACAGATAAATGTGGTTACAGTGGTCATTTATTTTAGACGGGCAGTAGGAAAGAGGAACGACTGAGCCTCGACTTGAACAGGGGCAAGATGAGCCCCACCCTTATTTGCAAACCAAGACATTTCTAGAACTGAGTGTCACTTTGAGAATTTTTTTTAACTGTAGTAAGAAGCATTTTAATTTATTATTGTTAATTTCAGTTTTATAATCACAACGTGCACATTCGCTCATTTCCAGAGAACAAAAAGCAATCAGTGCATCTTTGCCAAAGTCAACAGCTGTGTATTAGTTGTTTTTATACAATGTTGCAAAGCACAACGCACAAAATGCCCTTTCTACCACAATTCACATTGCAAATGTTGATTACGGCTGCACTTGCAGAACGTTGGTTATGACATTGGAAAGTGAGGGTTCAGCATAAGATCGTATGCTACATCTGAAACACAATTATACTGCAATTAATGTTGAACTTGGTATACTGTGCTGGTTTTAATAAACAAAAGAATAAAAAAAATATCCTGCGATACCCACAGCCGATATACGGAATCTTGTTGGCCATTTAAAAGTGGCCAAAACAAATGCGACGAGTCAGTTTATTCAAAGTCAGAGAGAAGGTAAGCATTTTTTAAAAAGTTGAATAAAGAAAGTTTTAACTATTGGCAGCTTCAGTTCCAACATAAAATTCAGGGGCACGAAAATGTATTTTCAAAGACAGCCATGACACAGACATCCAATACAATCCAACAGTCATCTGTTGACTAACTCGGAGAGAAACCAAACACTTCAATTTCAACATATAAACAAAACCCATCTAAATGTAGCTATGTCCTTGATACGAGAACCCTAATGAACCAGAGTAACCTGTCACCTCAACCCATGGAAATTAACAAAGAGCCTTTTCAAATCCTGACAATCAATTGTCAGGCCAGATCAGCCAATTGCCACACACTGCATTGATAAATATTTAAAATGAACGTGCCCTTTTTCAGCTACATATTACTCTATGGCAGGGGTCAAGAATCAAACTAACAAGCCATTTATTTCGAATTCGGTAAAAAAAAATAATATTGCATGTGAATACGAGACAGTGGGTCCTTAATAAATAACGTCATGAAGCAGTCCTTAAAGAGCCGCACGTGGCTCCGGAACCGCAGGTTGCCGACCCGTGCTCTATGGGGATGGCTCTCCGTGTGGCCTTTACCCCAGAATGCCAATGAGCAGACAGAAACAGAGGTCATTTAGGGCATTGAATTGCAGGTGCAAACTGGCAATCCGTCCCTGTGCTGCAGCCTAAAGTTATTCTTACTCCAGTCAAACGTCCCCCACCCCTCAATACCAGCCTCACTTACCTTTCACACAGAATGCAGCCAATGGAACAAAGTCATAAGACCATCACACAGCCGACTAGAGATTCCGTACGTAACTTAAAGCTATACATAGTGCTGGATGCACGGTCAAACGTCCTCTAACAAATTAAACCCTCAGCATACCCTCACCCTCAAGGTTTAAACAATAATTAATATGATAAGCAACACCTGCATGCAGTGCAGAGGTGAACGTACATACATTTTCACTATTACCACCTACCTCAATGGAGTTTTCTTTGAGTATGGAAAAATAAATTGCAATGGTCACATTCCTGCTATGCACTGCTTGCATTGCAGATATAACTCATACACATGCAGCTTAGATTCAGTGCCTCCAATTTGACAGTTATAAAGGTGATATATTCAAGCGAGAACAGTTGTTACCGTGCACAATAATAACCCATTAAAATTAACATTTGTAATTCAAAGACTTAGACAATTGCATACCATCTGGAATTGTAACTTTGCAAGGAATTACAGAACTACGAAAATTACCACTTCTGTGATGTTATTTCAATAAAACGATGAAGTTAGAAATCATCCAAATTATTTTTTATTTGTCATAATTTGAAATATCCCCCCCCCCCCCGGAAGCTAACATAATGTTCATTTGAGCAACGCGTTTTAAACCAGGGGTCATGGGAGCAACGTAGAGTTGTTTTTGCAAGTATAATGTGTACGACACACAGCTGTTTGGCTCAGTGAAGCTGGTTGGGGGCATCTAAGCCCAAGGCAGCTCACACTCGGATCACATGAAAATTGAGGAAAGCAGACTAAAAAGGTTGCACTTGGTAAATTAAAACAAACTCCTGGCTTAAATATATTTAATTTTTGTTTTCAAATACGACAGGGATAAACAATGCAATGTTGCGCAAGACAATGTTGAATATGAACCCTATTATTATATTTTGGTACTGGTAAAGGAGATCTAATGATGTAGATGCTTAACCCCGAGCCCTCATTACTTTGATAGTGCATTGCCTTTGAGCTGGACGCCATTTGGCGTCCTCTGGTCTTCCACCAATTGAGATGAGGCTCAAACGAAAGCCGTCTCTGGTGTGGACCAATCAGTTTCAAGGACAATGCATATACTATCAGTATGTTTTTTGTTTGCATTTTGACCAAAGAATCGTGGTTAATACACACATGATTCCTTGTAAAAACGTTTCAGTTTTGTTGCCAGAAAAAAGGGGAAAACCCCTATTTTTATGCTAATACTGTAAAGGATTTGTGTGTTCAGAGCATAAGTGTCTTTAAAAATCCCAGTGTTAAAGACTTATGAATGACGCGGGCATTAAAGGTTTTACCTTTCGTACTGTTTGCAAATTTTCACACAATGCACTGCGGTTGAATGTGGTACCTCATTTACCCGTACCCAAGTTAGAATTAAGTTGTTTAAACCTATAATATGTGGTATTGGATATCTGAAACAAAACGTATTGAACACCGTGATCAAACATGACAACCGATTGACAAGCACAGTAAGCATCGCAGCAGTATGCGGCCAAGTGTAGATATCCACAAGGGCAGAGACCTTAACCCCCAAATCAAAGTTCAAAAGCTTAACAGACCAGAAATGTGTTTTCAAACCTTGCAAAAAATGTGCACAACATACAAATAACACAACCCCTTGATAGACTACGCCTTTTTGCCTTGAAAGAAACGATGTGATGTGTGCACTGCCAGAGATAAGAACTGCGAGATGGTGAAGGGATTTGCTGGAGTCATAGCCAGGATATTTAAGTTGGTTCTTGCAGGGATGGGTACCCAATTTTACATTAATTTTTTTACTTCAAGTCATTGTAAGCTCTGGAGATTCCTGACGTGGAAGTAGTAATGAACCCACAAGAGTTAACCGAACATATCTCATGGCACTGTCTAAGCCAGGGTTTGGATATATTTTCTGGAAGTACGTGTACAATTACCGTGTGATGGCAGGCCACGCCACATTACACGTCATAAGGAAATGTTATTTTACATCACACGGTAGACACTTTCTTGTTTATCTCACTTTCATCTCAATACATAACGTTTGTATCTTCACGTCTTGGAGCTTTCGCTCTTAGCAGGCCATTTGGGCAAGATGTGACCACGGAGCTGATGGTTGAAACAACTTGGTCTAGATCGGGAATGGAGTTGAGCATTAGATTTCACTCTCCACTGTAAGAGCGCATATTTGTAAGGGTTATGTGGAGAAGAGGGTGGAGACGATGAAAGCAATTCCACACACAAAACCCATTTTAAACTAGGAACACCGGTTTATTTTCCTGCTTATTTGCCAATAATCTCCACATAGTTATGTTACAATTTGTTGTGCACATCCATGAAGTGTTTTTTTTGTACATGAGCACCTATGCATTAATAGTATCTAACACGATTAATTAAAAAAATTATCACGACGCTAAACATGTTATATCACATCAATCAATATAGGCCCGCTCTTCCGAACCGAATTGGGTCACGGGGGCAGCGACTCCAAAGTCTTCCAACCTGTCCTGTCCTCTGCCAGTGGCATCAACTGTGGCTCCCGGATCGGTGGTCTCTCCTCGACCAGGCGCACCACCCGGTCTCTGGGTCTAATGACTGGAGGACGTCCTTCAAACGTTTCCCGGGGGAGTCTTTCTTCAGCATCCTTAGCAGATGACCCCATCTAACCGTAGCTGGCTTCGCTACACGCTCAATAGTACAGACTCGATGTTATAAAACGTTAAAGTTCATAACCAGGTAAGTGACCATTACGAGCGTAAAAAAATGTGTCAAAGGTTAAATTATGTGCAAGGAAAAGTACTGTACAACATGGCAGCGCAATAAGCATAATAAACATCAAGATAATAAACCCAAAGTTCACCAGGAAAGTAACTATAAGAAGTATGATAGAATTAGCTCCAAATGAACAGCCAAATTTACGTAACGATTATATTGCACATCTACCATTTGGGAAACCAAAAGTAGGTCACAGGTAAAAAGGTAAAGAAAGGTCATGAAGGTCACGCTGTTCAGCATTCACAGATGAATCAATATAAACTATGTGCAGCAAAGTTCAGACAGATTAGCCAGATCATAGAGACGTCTTCTTATCCCACAATCCAAAGTTCAGCTGGCAACTTGTACATAGGACTTGCAGCGATTTAAA